CTCCGTTGTACGCAATTCTGTCCGCACCCTCGTGTCTGTCGGCAACCCCCTTATTAGCAGCACCCAAGATTCGTTCCGTCACCTCACTCCCCGAGAGCCCTTCCCTGGCCATGAAATACGCGGCCAGTCCCGCAACGTGCGGTGTCGCCATGCTGGTCCCGCTCAGCCATGCCGTTTCATAGTCACCGGTGTTGTACGCGCTGTTGATGCTGACGCCAGGGGCAAAGATATCCACGCCGGGCCCCCAGTTCGAGAACTCCCCACGCCGGTCATCCTCATCGATGGCCCCAACCGTGATCGCCGTCGGAGCAGACCCCGGTGACCAGTTCGCCACATCGTCGTTCTTGTTCCCGGCAGCCGCCACAACCGTAATCCCGGCATCCGTCGCGATCTTGATCGCGTCGTTGACCGACTGCGTGTAGGTCCCCGCCACGGACAGGTTGATGACCGTCCTGGACACCACGCCGCGTCTTCTAGCGTCGTCCACCGCCCAGTTCAGACCCTGCAGCAGCCCGGACATGCTCCCCGAGCCGGTCTTGTCGAGCACCTTGACGGCAATGACGGTCGCGTTCTTGGCTACGCCGTACGTGCTGCCGGCGATGATGGCTGCAACGTGGGTTCCGTGGCCGTCTTCGTCCGAGTCAGAGGTCTCGGCAAGGAAGTTGGCACCCCAGATGGCGCGGCCGTTGAAATCAGCGTGGCTGGTGCGGATGCCCGTGTCGACTACGTAGACGACGGTGCCAGTGCCGGCGGTATCGCTATAGACATAGTCCCGGCGGTGTCGGCTATAGTGAGAGATGCGGGCGAGGCCCCAAGGGGCGTTGTACTGTTTGACCATAGTACGCTTGGCGAGTGCTGGGCTCGCGGCCACGGCTGTGGTCTTGATGATGGTGTCTTTCTCAATGAGGTCAATCTACGAGAGTTAACGAAGGCCCGGGAGTTGCCTCACATGCACTTACCAAGTCGCACTCAGTGAGATTCTTGAGTTCCGATGGTGAAATCTCGGCCACATAACCCTGCAGACCCGGGATATCAAATCGGTCAAAGATGCCCCTCTTCTCATCCTTCTTGGCCATCCTGTCGATGTCCTCCTCGTGTTGAAGTCTTCTGAGAACATCGAGGCTGGGCTTGTATCTGATGATGTAGGTATCGGGGATGACGAGATCCTCCGGAACCTCATTGTTCTTGGCTAGCACAACGGCGGAAGCCGACCTGGGCCGGACGGGGATAGGAGGGAGAGGGGGGCGCGCGAGGTTCGGAGCCGGTGGCGTTACCGCCCCTGAAGCAAGCGGCGACGCGATTGCAGCCGCAAGACCGACAATGGCAAAGAAATGCATTTTACAAAGGAACAAAAAAAAGATAAAAAATGAAGGACAGGAGATGGTTTGAACGAGTGACTAGGGCCTTGTTACCCTTAACTTGAACGTATTGCGGATGAGGACGGGTTGAGTTGGATGAGCTGGGTGCTCTCCATCTGAGTGATTTCAATCCTGTAAACCCTCAAAAGCAAACTTTTGGGCTTAGGGGAATGAATGCCATCCCACTTCAAAGAGATTGAAGAGTCCGGATGTCCGAGATGCCGGCCCGGGCCGAAATGACGATGGGCAAGCCACACCACACCCCTGGAGATTTTGCTCAGCTGGTCCAGGATCCACAACTTCAGGGTCATACATAACTAACATGCACCTAGTATGCACCTCAAATCGTCATTGACATCGAGTTAGGCAAGCTTGCCAATGTCGAAGCCCTTTCATTCATTGCACCAGTGGTTTCCTTCCGGCAAAGTCTAAAGATGTTATCTCGCAGCGATGAGAGTGAGACCTACAAGCCGTTAGCAGGAAGGAATGCAATGTAGTAACCAGGTACCTAGTTATGGATAGTGCCTTGGGTTATTGATGGCAGTTTGATAGATACCCACCGTGGTAAGGTAGATATTTATGTGAAGGTTACCACTTGATACCATACATGTACAAAAACTTGAACTACTCTACAAAATCCCGGCCATTGGCTGACCGACAACTTCCCACGAGCTCAAAGCATCTTCCCAGGGAGGAAGTGCGTCAATAGCCCGGCTCGTGTAGCCACTATTTTTAGGCCGTGGCTTCAGCATCAGCATCAGCGCTTCTGCCACCCAACAGAGCCCCAAGCCCGGCTTTGAGCTCGGCGCCCAATTCGCCAAGACCGGCGCCAAGGCCGGCACCCGCTCCGGCACCAGTTCCGGCGTCGGCTCCGGCACCTGCTCCCGTACCAGTTCCGGCACCAATGTCAGCGCCCGCTCCAGAGTCGGCCCCGGCTCCAGTTCCGGTGCCAGCGCCATTGGCAGACCCAGAATCACCAACCCCGACACCAGCTCCGACGCCGGCGTTGGTGTTGGTGTCGGTTCCGGTATTGGTTCCAGTCCCGGCGCCAGCACCGTTGTTAGACTCGGCACCAGTTCCAGTGCCAGTGCCAGCGCCAGTGCCAGCGCCAGCGCCAGTTCCAGAATCAGCTCCATTGTCAAAGCCGGAACCACCGGCCCCGGTGTCAGTGCCAGTGTTGCTGCCCGTTCCAGCACCGGTACCTGCTCCGGCGTCAGTACCAGTTCCGTTGTCGGTGCCGGTACCAGATCCGCTTCCAACCCCGGCGCCAGCTCCGACATCAGCGCCGGCTCCAGCATCAGCACCGGCTCCGGCATCGACACCAGCACCAGCATCAGTACCGTTGCCAGCCGCACCACCACCCACTGCACCACCGGCCGCACCACCAGCTGCACCACCCGCAGCACCACCAGCCGCACCACCGGCCGCACCACCGGCCGCACCCGCAGCACCACCGCCAGCAGCAGCGCCACCCTTCCCCTTCCCTTTACCCTTGCCCTTCCCCTTTCCCTTCCCCTTCCCCTTACCCCCCCCACCTTTCCCCTTCCCCTTCCCAAACTGCCTCCTCCGCAGACGGGAGTTAATCACAGCCCCATCAGCCGCATCAGCACCATCCGCGGCAGCGGCAGCAGCGGCACCACCACACCCAGCGGCGGCGGCTGTATTGGCGGCGTCCACGGCGGTGGCGGTGGCGGCGACGTCGACGTCGCGCGCGGGGAGGATGGAGGTGGTGAATGTGGCTGCTGCTGCTGTTGGGGAGGTGTTAGTGTTTGTTGGGGGTTGGGATGGTAAACGGGTGGGCTTACCGGCTACGCCGCGCTCGCGGTGCTGGAAGGCGGAGGCGGAGGTGCCGAGGAGGAGGAGAGGGGCCGCGGCGGCGAGGAAGGAGGATGGGAAATGCATTTTGTGTTGTGGTTGTTTTTGATGTTGTGGTTGTTTTGAGGAGTGTTTGGTTACCGGAACCGAGTGAGAGAGAATGGGAAAAAAGCTGCGGAACGAAAGTGCAGCAGTCAATGCTGGTCTTGGGTGGTGTTCAAGGAAAGATGAAGACAAGTGACAGGAAATGACGCCTCGGAGAGAACAAACTGTCAAGAAAGGAAGAGGGAGTTATCGTTGAGATGGGCGCCCGTTTTAACTCGAGTCTGTTCAGGGGCTGGAATACTGTTGGGTTCTACCTGAATGGTAAAGATCGGATGGCGGTAGCAGGGTGGGGTTTTGACTGAAGCTTTGTCTGTTTCACTGCATGAGTAGCAACACTTTTGGGGGGTAGTGGCGTTGGCATGGAGGGCGAAAGTTCATTGTGATGGGATGCTCCCTGTGGCGCTGAGTCGAGAACGCTCGGATGGAGATGCCACCGTGCAGCTGAAACGAGGGGAACTCAGCCACACGTTACAACAACGGGCGAGACCCTGGAGTGCACAGGAACAATAAACATAAACCTTGTTCTAACCTCCTCTTCCCAAAACAAGAGGGCGATCATTTGCGAAACAATGTGGAGGCAGGACTGGGCTGTGTCCCTTCGCATCACTGCCGTTTTGGGGCTCAGGGGTATCAGCTCACTTCCTCGTCGAGAATACCAGGAACTCTGTGGCTCTTCCGATAATAGTGATGCGCGACAACGAAACCGCAAATGTATGGGCATTATCATTTCTCAAGAAAACCACATTTCAGGGTAATAAGTGCCGCTTCCATTGCGTGGCCTGGATCCGCCAACGTCGGTTTGTCGAAACACAGCGAAGATTTCCCAAACAGCCTTGGCCTCCAGTACATAAATGTGATGGGTATCAAAGATTTATTTTGGGCTTGATAGTTCATGCCCGGTCGCGATCTTGTGGTAATCTCCCTGGCAAACTGCTTCTGGTCCCGGGCTATCAAGCAGAATGAACACCCTATCTGGTCCGGTATAGGGTCCATTGGCATGAGATTTCCTCCAGAAATCTTGTAAGCGACGTTTTCGGAGTGTTTATTCGTCTCCACGCATCAATGAAGGGTAGATGAGTCTAGAAAAGAACTTCATGCGAAGGAAGTACCAAGTATAAAAGATCGAAAGTGGTAGTTATAGCTAATACGCGATAGTACGTGTTCTCATTTGTAAACCCGGCTCAGATTATCATCCGGTGGTTGATGGTGCCTTCACTTGTTCTTGTAAGCAAAGGTAAGCTTAACACCGACGTTATGATCATGGTTCGCCGGCAGTTGCCCGTATCGCCACCACAATGACCCACCGAACTAAATATTTTATACCCATCCATCCCCTTGGCGGAACAACGGGATCTCCCGCACGGGAAGACATTAGTGCTGACAACTAACCCCAAAAGGATCATACATGGTATGAGTGGGTGGTATTGGTATCTCCAAGACCTGACTTGAGCGGAGGATAGGTAGTATTTACGGTTCTGGACACTTCTAATGAAGGTCGTACAATGCCCGCCACAAGGGAATGCCGAGCCAACTCCGCTTCTATGTGGAGTTGTGGCCAAGAACTTGAAAACTGAAGCTGACTATGGTGGAACCGCAGGACACTGGTCTTTGGCGATTGTCCCCGATTTCAAAGCAGATATAAAGATATTCCGGACCTTCGGGATTGCTCAGCAGAGTGGGTCTCTGTCTGTGATAATTTGACTACACCCGTTCGGGGACCTGTATATAAAGCTCAGACTAGCCCCTTTCTCGGCCACAATGTCACCGTCACCTTCAAAGACTCCTTGAATTCAGAATACAAAAACACCAAACACATCATCTTCAATCAACCCCCAAGATGGCACTCCCAGACGTCGACATCGAGGCTGCCCCCGGCCTCTCCTACTTCACCCCGGCCCAAAACCCCCCCGCGGGAACAGCCGCCAACCCCCAAAGCAACGGAAAGCCCGTACCCAAGCTCTTCCAGCCCTTCACCATCCGCGGCGTCAACTTCCACAACCGCCTTGGTGTACGCCCCCCCACCACCCCCCCAAACCAAACCCAGCACTAAACCCCCCACCCTCCCGCAGGTCGCACCCATGTGCCAGTACTCGGCCGAAGACGGCCACATGACCGACTACCACCTGATGCACCTGGGCAGCATCGCGCAGCGCGGGCCGGGGCTGGTGATGATGGAGGCGACGGCGGTCAGTCCCGAGGGGCGCATCACGCCGCAGGACGTGGGGCTGTGGAAGGACTCGCAGATCGCGCCGCTGAAGCGGGTTGTCGATTTCGTGCACGGCCAGAACCAGGTCGTGGGCATCCAGCTCGCGCACGCCGGGCGCAAGGCGAGCAATGTCGCGCCGTGGAAGTATAGCGAGGCGGTGGTGGCGACGGAGAAGGTTGGGGGTTGGCCGGATCGCGTGGTGGGCCCGAGTGAAGTGCCGTTTGATGAGTCGTATTGTCGGCCGAAGGCGATGGGGAAGGGGGAGATTGAGCGGTTTAAGGAGGATTGGGCGGCGGCGGTGAAGAGGGCGATTGCGGCGGGGGTGGACTTCATTGAGATTCACGCCGCCCATGGGTATCTGCTCTCGTCGTTCTTGTCGCCGGAGGCCAATACGCGCACCGACGAGTACGGCGGCTCGTTTGAGAACCGCATTCGGTTGCCCCTGGAGATCGCGCAGATCACGCGGGATGTCGTGGGTGATAAGGTGCCTGTGTTCCTGCGCGTCTCGGCTACGGACTGGGTGGAGGAGACGCTGCCTGCGGAGAGCTGGACGGCCAAGGATACCGTGCGGTTTGCCGAGGCTTTGGCCGCTCAGGGGGCGATCGATCTGATCGACATTTCTTCGGGTGGTGTCCACCACAGCCAGAAAGTCAAGTCTGGCCCGGCCTTCCAGGCGCCGTTCGCGATCGCGGTCAAGAAGGCTGTTGGGGACAAGCTTCTTGTGGCGACGGTGGGAAGCATTACCAATGGCAAGCAGGCGAATGGTCTGCTGGAGGACGACGGGTTGGACATGGCGCTGGTGGGACGTGGATTCCAGAAGGACCCCGGTCTGGCTTGGACTTTTGCCCAGCACCTGGGCACCGAGATCGCGATGGCCTCCCAGATTCGCTGGGGCTTTAATACCCGGCGTGTAGGCAAGCCGTACATCGACCCTTCGGTTTATCAACATAGCATTTTCCAGTAATTTCACTGCACGCAGCGGTTGAGGATAGATAGATACCTGAGACATAGAATAGAATTCAACCGGATTCTTCCGGTAGCCATTATCAACGAAGAGGAATTGAGGATTTGCTTGGCGCCCCAAGGTCTTGGTTTTGTGCCAAAATAAGTTGATATAGGCATTGATAGAAAACATGAACTACCCTCACTGGTCTTTCCCGGGTTCGTGTGTTATTTATGCTGGGTGTTCTTCGGGACCACCTTGTTCGGCGGGTGGTTGTTGCTCTTGTTGCTGTTGCTGTTGCTGTTGCTGTTGCTGTTGCTGTTGCTGTTGCTGTTGCTGTTGCCGTTGCCGTTGCTGTGGTTCTTGGTATTCAGGCATGAGTTGGTTAACCGATAGCTCTGGTACAGCCTGCCCAATGAACTCCCTGCAACGCAGCCAGTCAGTAAGTCGATTCGCCACACCGGCACCTCATTTCGCAGAACTCCAGATGGAGGGACCTGACCGGACTAGCCCTCCTGTTGCGACCCCCAAGCCCACACCCTCCCCGGCCCCCCCGTCCACCTCTGCACCACTCCTCCCCTCCGGATCCACACCGCCCTCAAAGACCTCACTCTCACCATCAACCCCCTCCAACGCCGCCGCCGCCGTCACCGATCCATCCACCTTGGCCCTCGCGCCTCCCCCATCCCCCGACTTGCGCGGCCTACCCGACCGCTTGCCAATCGTCGGGGTCTTCTTCTTAAGGGCGTACTTGATCTGGTGGATGGAGTAGCCCGTGACGCGGCGGATCTCGGAGGGGCCCATGCGCGCGTCGCGTGAGAGGGTCTGGATCCGCACCAGATCATCCTGCTTGAGCTGCGTGCGCCCGACCACGCCCGCGGGGCGGCCCATCGGTGATTTTGGATGGATGGGTGGATGATATATGTGAGTGCGGGTGTGGGCGTGGTTGGGGACTTGTGGTGGTGGTGTTGCCGAGGGTTTTGATGTTTTGGGAGACGGGAAAGTGGGGCTGTTGGATCGAGAGGTGACGGGGGTGCAGAACTTTTTGAGCGCAGAATGTCTGGCGGCTGGCGGCGGGCCGGAACAGCTGCATGGTGAACGAGAGGACGGGGGGAAAGTCCGGTGGTCTTTTTGACCTCCATGTTTCTCGAATACCAACACAAAGTGAGAAAAGTCACATCTCAACACCGAAGAAGCCAGAATTTAGCGACGAAAACGCTACTCATTAACCATAGTCAAGTAGTCAACATTCGGCACCAACCCAACCCATCGTTCCATTGTCTCAACGCCTCCATCTCCCGCTGTTGCGCTCACCATCCAAGCTTCAATCAACCTCTCCGCCGCTTCCCTCGTGATCCTCAACACCGGTTCCCGTCCAGGTCTCAAGATCCGCGTCATGCTCTCTGCCCACTCCCACGGACTCTCCAACCCCCCAGGAACACCATTGAAGTACTCCCACCCCGCAACCCCCCCAATCTCGCCATATCTCTCCCTCAGCATCGCCACCGTCCTCCCCAACTCCTCATGCCTCACAAACCCAGCCCCATTCTCCGGACTCGTCAACTGCCCAACCACAATCCTCTCCGGCGCCCACCCACTCCCCACAATCGCATCAAACAACCCCGTCCCCTCCGCCCCCCCAAAACCCATTATAAAACTGCGCATTAAAAAACCCCACATCCTCCCAACCACCTGCTCCATCTCG